TAACGTGATAATTTGCCTGATTTTCCAGCTCGGCTATTCACTGATTTATTCACCACCCTCTCTCTCTCCCTGCCTTCCAGTACTTCAAAGATGACCAGGGTTGGACTAATCTGTACGCCAAAAAGGCCCCGACTTGGTGGACCTTGTCCTACTGGTGCCAGCGTCAACCGCCCGAAGGCTGTTTCATTCGTCTCGTGCCGGTGTATGGCACTTCGGATAAGCAACAAGAGGTTATACAGAGGTGAGTAATGTACATTTGCATCGTGCACGCAGTCTTCCAGACTAACAGAAGACTTGATCGTTTTGCACCTCATCCACTTGTGCGACGGCGAGCGGCTGTCTTCTATGGCGTGAGCCGACCTGCGAGGTGTATGTCGACAGGATGGAAACCTCTCGACCGGGAAGTCCAACCTATAAAGCCGAGGGAGGTCGGCATGGTTATGCTTGATTTTTTTCAGCGTAATAACACTTGAAAATTGACAGAGGTATTAAATGGTACCAACTGGATCCGAACTAAATACTCAGACCCTCCCGGCCCAGGGTATGTTTTGCTGATGACTGCATATAAGCCCGAAATTGTTGGTAGTTCTCTGATGTCGCAGTGTGATCGCATGCAAGGACCATGGAACAAATAGCCTTACCCTACCAACTAGCAGTTCTGACCAATGCCTATTATCTGGAAAAACATTTCTGGTAGCCTTCAAACCCTGAAAACACTACGTTTCTGATTAGGCCCATACCACCCTTTAGGCAAATAAGCTAAACACACGTATTCTGACTAGAACTAGACTGTTAACACTGCAACCTTCTGCAGTATTACTAAAAGTTCATGGGAAGATTCCTATCTTTTGACACTCCAGAATTTATCGAGAGTAGGTTCACTCTCAAGTGGAATTCATCTGCAACATTTGAGTCGAACAGCCTGATGCCCCACTAAGTGGTCTAATCAGCCAATTTTCTAGATGGCAACTCATATTTTGTACCCGATCACCTCTCTAGCAGTATTTTCTTATTCAGTCACTGACATATCTTCCCATAAATGGCTCCCAACAGTGCGAGTCCACTAATAAACCGAAGGTATTCCGTGTAACAGTGGAACATCGACAAAAAGCGATTCTGAACTGTTGCCCAGCCACTGTGTTGGAAGTCCTATCAATAACTTTCTGAGTGTTTTGGCTGGTAGAGAAAAAACCGACAATCACAATTTCAGAAGATTTGATGAAAACGGCTTGCCAATGGGGAGCATTTCAAATCGAAAATACGCATTTTTGTGATCCCCCTAACTTACTGCAATTTAGAATTATGTGCGCCGTGCTGATAAGTAGTACAAGTAAAGACGACCCTTCAGTTGCTCCCGCTTGCTTCTATACGTTTGCGGCTTTTCTGTTTAGATGCCTTGAAGATTTCATGGCTTCGCCAACCCCAGGAACGGCTCGATACAGCATGATTCTCGTTGGAAACTCCCTCGCCGAATACTTCTACGACTTGAGCACAGAACGTCTTTGTGTCTGCTTGCCGTATGAACGTCCAAAAGGTAAGACAGTTTCCATCAAAAAGTTTTGTTGCCGTAGTTTCTACCCCAAATGAGCTGTGTCTGTATGACTGTCGAAACAGTCAGTGGGGGGGGAGGGAGGGGGATATACATTGTTCGGATTCGACCTATTTTAGATTGACCTTGACGAACAGCGTCTGGCGCCACTCTATTGTGAGTCCTTTGATTCCCCTTTGCCCGTCCCCGACCCCGCTACACACACTCAGTCCTGATGCCTCTGGCGGCTAGATACAGCACGTATCGCCGTGGCGGGTTAGGGGGGAGCGTGGGGGACTGCGCTCTTATCCCAGACGGAGCTTGTCAAATAACTGTCTCGGGGGTGAATGGACTGTTGCTAGCGCCTTCAACACGTGTGATAACTCGACCCACCTGGACAAAGGCAGTCA